AAAAAATTTATGTTTCATTGATTCTTCAATTCTATTAAAATCTAATGTTATTGGGAGATGGAATCTCTTTAATTTTACTCATACACCAAGATTCTCAAAATACTATAGATATACATAAGATTTTTGAAATCCATGTCAACGAAAACATATATTCATAACACAACCAAAACCCAACAAAGAAAACAACTATTATTATTTATACTCCATGTGAACATATATATTCATCAATGTATCAGAAACACTAAAATTTTTAATTTACTATAAGACAAAAAACGAGAAGAACTTGCTTGAATATCAAAACCCAGATTTTAAAAATATAATAACTAATCTCAAATTATAATTTCGATTAAACAAAACTATCTCAAAACACAAATTTTGCAAAACATAAATATATATATATAATAGAGAAAACGAAAATCATAATTCATATAAAAAAAGTTATGCTCACATAGTATATAAAAAGGGTTACCTTATATATTACCTTATATAGAAAATTGTTAATATAAATCCATATCAATCTATGACAAATCAATAACAATCCTAGGAATATATTTTAAGAATCAGTGATAATCCATCAAAATTTATAAAATCTCAGAATTTTCAAAATCTACAAAATCCACATAAGTCCATCTACGAATAAGGACCCCTAATATTATTAAGACATTTTAAAATTTCACGCAGGAACTCTAATTAATTAGTGTTGTTCACAATAATGGATTAATTTGTGTATAAAAGTTTCCATATCGAAAGTCGTTTTCATTTAGCCAAATGTGATGCAACTATAGTCGTATTTTTCTTGAGTCCGACTTTTATAAATAAGTGATAGAAGAATTCATATTACTTGTTCTGAAGTAAGCGTCTTAGTAGATAAAAAAACAGTCATTAACACCTCTTTTATTAATTAACTTTCTGTTAGGTATGGGATATGAAAAACGTAGGTATCAATAAAATAAAGAGAAAGTTTAAAAAAAAAAAAAGAGCAATGATTTCTATGGTTCCTGCATATGCAATGTGAAAAATTTTAACTCTTGATTTACTGAATCGTATAAACGAGTAAACAATAAAGTCAGACAATTTTTTTAACTCTTTTTTTTATGAGAAATTTTTAAAAATGTCACTTTTCAAATGCCACTTTTCAAAAATGCAATCTTTTCAAAAATTTTGCAAAAATATCACTTTTTCAAAAGAAAAATTCATTATATCATTTATGTTTGGGGTAACTATGTTGTATTAGAGTTTAGTTTTGAGGGTTTTAGGGGTTTTAGGGGTCAAAACATTGTTTAAAATTTCTAATTTAAGATTTAAATTTTAAAAATCCAATAATTAGTGACATTCTTAATTGACATCCTTGCAAATATGCACACCAAAAATGATATTTTTGCAATTATCCATTTCTTTATTAATCAATCTCTTATAAGAAGTGCTGACCAAGTATTGTAATTTTTTTGTTCAAAAAAAAGTATTGTAATTTTCTTTAACATAAAAATAGTTATTGTAACTATAATTTCATAATTTTACGTGTTCTACGACTTATGAGTCAAGGTGAGTGGTGATCTCTCGTTTATATTAACATCGTCAGTGGTACATTGAGTTTATTATCGTTGATATGTTCATATAAATCTAGTTCATTTAATTATAAAGTTTATTATTTTAAATCAATAACGATTTCAGTTTCATACCAAACCATGTGCAAGTTAGATGAAGAATTTATTGCAGTTTGAACAAAAAAAGCCGTCATTCATTTTTCTAACCTACTGTGTCCTAAATGCAAAATATTTAATAAAAGCAGACCACTGGTAATGTAATCATCCTCCAATTCGATATCGCTACCTGTCTGTCTCTCCCGGAACATGGTTTTCAGTGGATCTTCTTTTTTCACTTTGACAAACTTTTGTAATTACGATTTTTCAGAAGAATCCTAGTGGCTGTTGTTATTTTCCATTCTTAACTCAATCATATTACACCGCATAATATGTGGAAACTCGTCGACCATCTTTATCGAATTTTGAAACGTCGTGGTTCGCTCCTCACTATTCTCAGTTTAGTTTTGATAAATTTTGAGTTTATGAAAACCAATCATATAATCTGATCGCTAGATGGGGAAACAAAAAAAAACCAATCATTAATTCGATTTAGGTATTGGACGAGACATTAAGCTAACATCACCTGGAGTGATGAATTTTCCTCAAGTCGTCGAAAAAGAATAGTTTACAATACAACACTAGTACATGTATGAAAATTTGATTTGCTTAATATTTTTGTATATAATTAATTAACATTGTTCTATTGTTTAGGG